AAAAATAAAATCTTGGAAAGCTGGATAGCATCAAAAGAACCCATTAGCATACAAATATGTTCCTCTTTAACTGGAGCATATCCCTCAAAAAATGCATTTTTTTTTCAAGTGTTCACACATAAAAATATTAAAAGCTTCACAAGAGTTCTATCAAGCATGACGCAATCAAATTCGAAAAATTAGGGTGCTCTAATTTTTGTTTTCTGGGTCCTTTTACGAAGTCGTTTTTTATTATTTGCTGGTTTAAAACGATGATGGAACCCAAGGAACGAAAAACAAATGAGTGATCACAAGAAATTAAGGATTGACCTTCAAACTCACAAAGGGAAGGGAGAAATTAGTAATATCGATATTTAAAACATGCGTTTGAGAAAAAAAAAAAATCATAATATTCTCGTTTCCTGTGTATTAGTGCTCCACTGTAGATTTATTTAGGGGAATAAAGCAAAATTCAACAAGGAAAGCTTAGAGTTTAAAGCAATGGAAGCATAAGATCTAAACCCAGAAAATTAAATTAAATTATTTTTTATCATTAGATTTCATTTTCACCTTTTTCCCCCTTGATTTTGGTCCTCTTTTGGAAGATAATTTGACTTAATTTTATTCTCCTCTTTTTAATCAAAAAAACAGAGAAAAAAACAAAAACTGCCACCAAGAAAAATAAAGGAAAAAACAGGATAATCAAATTTCTGATAGATAATAAAAAAATCCAAGATTCGATGGTCAAATGTTTAACCATAAATTAAATATATAAGCAATAAAATAAACCTTAGAAGATCTGTTGAAGCTTTTAGACAATCGTAAACTGGGAGACGCCGGTCGAGTAGCAGAGCCACTCATGCTCCACCCCGCCGGAGAGGGAGACAACAAGGCTGCATCGGAAAACCCATCGGAATGCGGCGGGGAATCGTCTGCATCAGCCGTGGGCACATAAACACATAAATTAGACGCCAAAGCCATCTTCACTTTCCTCCATTTACTTCCCATTCTCTCACCAAAAAAAAAAAACTTCAGGAAAACAGATCTCGGTGTGGGTATTGAGCAAAAGGAGATGAATCGGACAACGGGATGTGGGTTTTGAAGAATAATTGAAGAGAGTAGATGGCTGGCACGAATACCGAGGAGGGTTTTTAGAGAGAGAAATAAGCGAAAGGAAGGGATGAGGGAAGAAAGATGGGGGTTTCTACAGTTAATGATGATGGGTAGGTTGTAGATTCAGCGTTTACTCTTGCTACTGGCGGCCATTAATTGAACTTCCGTGGAGTAGAGAGAGAGAGAGATGAACGCTCTTCTCTTTCTCTTTCTCTTTCACTTTCTTTTTCTGGTTTTTTTTTTTGGAGGAGCTTGTTGACCTTTGATGAGTTTTTTGGTTTTGTATCTCAGAGAGAGGAGTCTAGTCACTGGTGAGTGCTGCGGCTGTTTACTTTTATACTCTCAAGCGGTCTACATTTATATGATATTTATAAATTAAAAACAAAAAAAAAAAAAAAAAAAAAAACAAAATTAACAATAATTTTTATTTTATTTTGAGATTTTCTAATACATGTCGTACAATTAGCGCGTTATAAAGTAACTACTAAAACTATGCTTTATTCAGTTTTGGTGGTTACGTAGGCAGTAGGGTGCCTACGTGGCAAGGTCAACTACGTATGAACACCGACAGAGGTGCGCGTAGGTGCATTGTGGCGTAGTATATACCACAGTCGAAGATAAGGAATGAAAGCGAGAGAGAGTGTGTAAACAGTTCTTTTTGATAGTTTGGACTTTCAAAAAAAAAAATTAAATTTTAAATTTTAAATAACAACTTTTATATATATATATATATATATATAATATATATATATATATATATATATATATATATATATATATATATATATATGGTTAGGTTCATGTGAAACGATCTAATTTGTGACACCACGAGACGCATTTTGTATTTTATTTTATTTTTTTATTTTTGTTAGTTAATTCAAGTTCCGAAAATAATATTTAAAAAAAAGAATTTTTGTATTTTTCCATTTATTTTGCATTTTAAAATTATTTTTTAAAATATGTACAGTGTAATAT